GTCCTGGCAGCTGGGAAACAGAAGGACCAGCATCTGGTAGGGATCTTTGTGTGGAGTCTTGACAGTGTCGAAAGGGCAGGAAGAAAAGCCAGTTCGTGCCAGAAGAGAGGAAGAGGCGCTGTCTAGCAATCCATTCCCAGGTGGTCAACCAGCCCTTTAATAAAACCTATCCATGCAGGAGGGCCCCACCCTTATGACCTAGTTGTCTGTTAGAGAGTTCTGTGTTTGAACCACCATGATAGGAATTAAATGTCAACAGGAGCTTTGAAGAGGTCATTTAGATGATATCAGATGATATTTCATCAACCGAGGTTGCATCATAATAATGATGATGATACTAAAACAATAAAAACAATGATAATAAACATAACTGACATCTACAAAATGTGAACTTTCATGCTCATATCTACTCTATGAGGGAGGCGTTTCTGTTAGCTGCATTTTATAATTAAGGGAATAATAACTGAAAACATCGGGAAACCTTTGCAGTTTCAGGAAGCACCTAAGCGTCAGAGATGTTTAACTAACAAACAACACAGTCTCAAGCGATAAGCAATACCTGTCCCAGTGCCCAGCACCTAATAACCTCACACGTCTTATTCGTTGAATTTGTGATGAGTTCAGGTGTAGGTTCTGTTTCCAGGCCTCATATTTATTTGAACCATTTCTTCCAAATAATTCAGCTGTAGTCTCCTAATCTGCCTCCTTTCATAGATCCCAACACTGGTGCCTGTTCAGTCACTATTTAAGGGACACGTGTGGATGAATGGTTATTTCTAGACTTCTCCTCCATGCACACCAATCTATAGTTTAGCTCGGGTTATTTTCTCTCATCTTCTACCTATTGTGTGTAGACATTGGCGCTTACTTCGTCTTTCATGGATTCTGAGGGTCCTGTGTGTTCTGTATTCCCTAATGAGTTGCTTTATGTTTCCCTTGTATTCTTCGTGGTGCTTTGATGTCTGGAGTGCTCTGTAAGCGCAGCCTGAGTCGCATCTGCATGTTGTCGCACACGCTTTAAGCTTAAATGACCACGGGGACAGCAGTAGCTCTGTGGGCTGCTCTCTGAGTCTATAGAGAAAGTTCCAATGTGCTTTCTGCTAAGCAGTTGTTCTGACATCAGAGAGCACCATCCAGGCTGGTAGCTTAAGGCACAATTTAACATATTGTCATCATGCAGTTTCTGTTGGCCTGTGGGTGCTGGTCTCCAGACTGAAAGGGTATCTGTGCCTTTCTCAGCAAATCCAAAGGGCAATGATTTAAGATATAGAGCCCAAGGTACCTGATTAAATTCCTTGAACTTAGCCCTGGAAAGATGGTGTGGTGGTTAAGAATGCTTTCCATTCTTACAGAGCACAGGCCTTTGATTCTCATCATTGATGTTGTCAGGGATTCGACACCCTCTTCTGGTCTCTGTGGACACCCCCCCCCCGACAATGCGTACATCACATATACACGAATAAAATAAACCTTAGAAAGATTTCTTAGACTGAATAAACCAAGTCCTTAGATGGTTATGAACAGCCATGCATTGCCATATACATATATACATGTATGTAGAGACACATACATCTTCACGTACCCCAGCTCTTTCCGATCTTAAGCTACTTGTAGACCAAAGCTTGACTCTTAATCTTGTTTGTTCCCAAATACAGGGCAACAGAAACAAATCTCAAAGGAAAAATAGATGGTAGGTGCAAACTCACCCAACAGTGCCCAAGGAGACCACTAAGAGCCATGACCTTGGCAAACCTGTCCCAGAACTTCCAGCTTCTACTGTAGTCTCAAATATAAGACTTAGTATCATCCAAAATCAAGGCAGATGGGTGCATATATTGGCACTGTGGTAAAGATATTTATTCAGATCCATTAGGAAGGCTTTAAGAAAAACCTCAAGAGAAAGACGGGAAGTCTAGCTAGCTAGCTAGCTAGATGATAGATGATAGATGGATGGATGGACAGATAGATAAATAGATAAATAGGTAGACAGATAGGTAGGTGGATAGAGTGTCCATCTAATTACATTTCTCCTCCCTGAACCCAGTCATCTTGATGTTTTTGACAAAACTCATAATCATTCCAAGTCCACGAATTACACTTTGGAAGAATGAAGCATTTTATTCTATTCAGCCTTTCTCCTCCACCCCTATACACCCTGGGCTCTGCCTCTCTACTCGCAGTAGAGATACCTAAAAGAGTATTCTAGTGCCTTCTAGAAAGCAGATCCGACTAGGCATTTGTCTGTCCTGTGCCATCCGTCACACCCCACTGCATCCAGCATAAGAAGGCAAGTTGTTTAGTGCTACCACAACAATTGTCCGTCAGCTTTCAGCCATTACAATAAACGCCTGAGATACTCCAACTATAAAGAGAAAATTTGCTCTGTTTGGCTCACAGTTTTGGGAGATTCTAATCCATGGCCAATTAATCCTTTTGCTGTGGACTGATGGAAATGTATTACGGTGGGAGCATGGGGTGGAAGACAGCAGCTAGCCCCATGATGTATCAAGGATCAGAAAAGCAAGGTCAGTAGAGACTCAAAATTCCACTGAGGCTGTACCCTCGAGTACATCCTCATAAAGTAATTCCACTTTCTTCTAAGCCCCAGCCCTTGAAGAAGTGGTTCTTAACCTATGGGCTGTAACCCCTACAGGCGTTGCATGTCAGATATCCTGCACATCAGATATTTACATTACAATTCACAGCAGTAACAAAAGTACAGTTATAAAGTAGCAATGAATATATTATAGTTGTGGTCACTACAACATGAGGAACTCTTTTAAAGGGTCACAGCATTAGAAAGTTGAGAATCACTACCTTATAGTTCCTCAACCTCCCCAAAACAAAAAGTCAATGGCTTTAGTACACAGATGTGAAGTAAAGCACTCTGTATTTGAAATCCATCTATCCATCCATCTATCCATCCATCTATCCATCCATCAAACTTCAAGCTATTTTGTAATGTTATGTTTCCTGAACAGTTCTTTGGGGGTGGGGCCGTGTCTGACTGATCTAGGCTTCTCAGGTGCCTAGCACAGTGTCTCTGTGTTGCAGACTTTCTATTTTACTTTAACCTATTTTCCCCTACAAAAGAATTTAATGTGCAAAAATCCCATAGCAAGCGGACAGGAAAAAGAAATGCATTTGCTGTGGAGGTTGTCCGGTGAAGTTTAGTGCCTTTCACAAAGCAAACTTACCAGCTACTTAATTGGAAGACTTGAAAGCTCCCAAAGGAGAAAGGAGGGTGGGAAAATGGGAGGGAAGGAAAAGCAGTTTCCCCATTATATAGAGGGCTGAGACGGTGAACAAAAGCCCTATATTCACCCAAGAATAGAAGCTTTAAGGACTCCAACTGCATGCCAAGGCACTGGAGGTCCTGCCAACTTCAGCTCATGTGGGGCACTTGCCCTTTGATGCAGCCAAGGAAGGGGATTTCAGGAGCAAATGGTGACCTTCGAGCAGCTGTGCTGCAGGACCAGTGCGGAGACCCTTAACTTCTCCCTGACCCCAACTCCGTTGCCCCTGATGGGAAAGGAAGGAAGAAGTTAGTTATTAAACAAAAGAACCAAGGTTGTGTTGCTGTTAGAAAACATGCAGGCGGAAGGAATACAAAGGCAACCGAGAAAAATATATCTGGGCTCCTGCTTATGGGAGAGTGAAGGAAAAAGAAAAGCAGGAGTGGAGAGCAGAGCTCTGATAAGAGGACTTCCTAGGCAGGACCGCCTGTGCAGAGCACCTGCCAGGAGCAAAGGTTCCCACATGCTGTTTGCAGAGTACTCTCTGCACCACCGTTTAACATGCACCTGTGTTTCCCACATCACAGAGGAGGATGCCAAAGTTTCAGCAAAGGTAAAGAGCAAGACCAGGTCTCCACGGCTGGAGCCAGCACGGAAAGCACCACCTGCCAGATGCCACCACGGTGCGAATGGAGGCAGAACACACAGCAGAAGGGAACACTTTCTCTTCTGTTCCTTGATCTCTCTCTTTAACTCTGTCAGTACAAATGCCTTTCTCAGAGCTGCTAAGACTGCCTGCTTCCTCTACATAGAACTAAACCAAACTTAAATGGAACAAAACTCAAAACACCATTTATCCCACTCCTACTATGACTTAGGAAAGTGATCGTGGGGACCTGGAGAGATGACTCAGGTATTAGAGCCGTCTTTAAACCCCCACCCATGGGGGTGCTGCTCCCATGTTTGGAACCCAGCATCCACATAGCAGTTCACAATTGTCTGCAACTGTAGTCCCAAGTGATCTACACCCCTTTCTGGCCTCTGTGCATACTGCATACATATGGTGCACATACATACTTGCAAGCAAAAAAATATAACCACATACACACACAAGATTGTGATCATGGGTGAAGCAACTTCAAGCAAAGTAGGAAAGATACGCATCTTAAAATTAAACTATTTTGTATGCTAACAAAAATTAATTCAATTAAATAAAGTATTGTCACTGATAGAGGAAATTCCTAGCCTACTTGAGGAAATCATTGCTGAACAGGGCAAAGCACTCTAATAAAGCAAGAATGGATTTATTTTTTTTTTAACATTTGTTTATTGTGTGTGGTGGGGGGTGTTTAAGCACCAGGGTACATACAGGAAAGTCAGAGGACAACGTGTGGGAATTGGTTCTCTAATTCCACTCTGTGAGTTGTGGGGATTGAACTCAGGAACTTAGACTTGGTGGCAAACATCCTTAGTTGCTGAGCCATTCCACTGACACATGAAATGCTTCAAAAAAGCAAACAAGGGAATTTTAAGTCCTCCAAAGAGAGGAAGGTTAGCCAAAGCATCTGTGATTGGCTGGCATTTTGAAGGACAGCATAGGAAAACTCATTACAGATAAAAGAGACAGCATGCATGAAAACAGACAGAACATCAGAGATACATGCTGAAGGTGTGAGCAGTCATCCAGGTTGTTGTTTGGGACAAGATAGAGGTCATAGGTCAACCCTCAAAGTTGGCTTCTGCCTGTCCAGGGAATAGATAACATGAGCTTATTCACTGAGGCAAAATACATATAACAAAGTTAACACATTAATAATTTTAAATGTTTAAATGCATGAATATTTCCACAGTGTGTGGGTGCACCCATCTTCAAAACATTTTCATCATTCCAGATATTCTATCCCCAATGAGTAAAATCAATTTCTTCTTTCTTCCAGACTTTGGTATCTTCTGCTTTAATGAATTTGCCAGTTGTAGATATTTCACAGTAGTGGGATCACTTACTGTCTCCCTTTCTGATTGGTTTGTTCCATGTCTTTAAGAGGCACCCCTGTTGGAACAAATATCAGAAATTCATTATTTATTCTGGCTGAATAATACGCCAATGCCTGTGTTTACCACGTGATATTTATCCACTTTTCTATGGTGGACATTGCTTTTTTTCTCCAATTTTGGTTACTGTGAATACAATATGCAAGTAACTGCTCATGCCTGGTCCTTCGTAGAAAGGCCAGTTCCTATAGTAACTTCATGTTTAATCTCTTGAGGAAATACCAATTGATTCTCTGCAGCAACACTGCCATCTTTACATTCCCTGTGCATTTACATGCACAAGAGTTCCCATTTCTCTGCATCTATATACTCGCTTTTTTTTTTGCTTTTTAAATAATAGTCATCGTGATGTGTGTAAAGTAGTTTCAAATTTGCATTTCTCTAATGATTAGTATGTTTTCGTGTGCTTATTGGAAAATTACCTATCCTTCTAGAGAAACGTCTCCTCCGGTCCTTAGGCTAGTATTTAAATTGTGTGTTTTGTTGTTGAATATCTAAGTTTTGATTATCTGGGGCTATGGAATTGGAACTAAATGTCACCACTCAGTGGCAGGCTTATTTGTTTTCGAGTTTTAATAAAACAGTTGTGCCTCGCTGAGGTGACAGTGTAGGAAGGTATTTATGAAGTGGTATTCTTGTCATTGTTGGTGTTGTGTGTGTTTTTTTTTTTTTTGGTATTTCTGAGTTAAGTGACACATCTATAGTCCCCTACGGCCAGAGGTAATAAAACTCATAGCAGATGTAGACTATCAAGCTAACTAAAAATCCAGAGAAAGCACCGTGAAACAATCCCCGGATGTAAATCATATATCGTGAAAGCCATTGGATTAGAAACACATTATCCTTGTCTGATTTTCTAACACCCACACATTCCAAATAAGCTTGGCGTTTGATTTACACTCTGACATTTAAGGAAATGGGAACGGGTGATCTAGCTCCATCTTGATAAACGCTTTCCCCTGGGTTTGCAGTAGCAGCCTCGGAGAACAATGGTGCAGGCGTCCTAATCATATAAATAGGGACCTGGGTCAGAAAGGGTGGCCCCTCAAGTGGCCAACTTTCTGCCTAGCATTGCCTGGGCCGTGCATCATCAGGTAAAGTCAAATAGCTGTCTGGCCTGATGGTTGCAGCCCAGGAATGGAGTCAGGGTTCCTGCCTTCAATACTAGCCTTGCTGTGTTTCTTCCCTTCTGGGGAATGGAGACAGGCGATTCCAGGATCTGCATGAAGCAATAAATGTTCTGCACCAATAGTCCAGTTGACAGAAAATGGAGTGTGAGGGATGCCACAGAAGGCAGAAATGCTGGGCAGAGGGGGAGCAGCCATGGCAGCAGACACACCTCGGCACAGAAAAGCCAATGGGCCTCTTTGTCCAGCACCAGAGCAGCCATTTAACAGTCAGGGGATTATTTATTGTGTTTTCCTTAGATTTGACAGCCATGCTCTGAAGAGATAGACCCCACCCCCCAAGGCAGGGTTTCCAGAGGCAGGTTATTTTCTCCCACCCGGACCCGGGTTCTCCTTCCCTCCCCGGGACTTTGCTTGCCAAACAGTCCTGTGCCTTAAACACTAATCCCCACAGCTCATCTCGGAGGGAGCTTTAGCGGCATTTGTGAATTCAGAATGAAATCCCTCTCTCCCCCAGTCCAAGTGAACAGCTGGCAGGAGATACTGATAGCAAGGAAAGAAGTCGTCACTTCGTTGGATGTTATCCTGAATAATAAGTGAACCGCTGACGACATTTTTCAGAGCTCCAGAAACTGCCATCATCCAGCCTCTGCCACCACCTGGCCATTCGGCGGAGCTAACAGTCTCTGCACAGCTTGAAGCAAGGATGAGAAAGAAGAGATGCTAAAGGGTAGATCGTGTAAGTGTTGGGACATTGAAACCCTGGCACATAGACTCCCTGACACACACACACACATACACACACACACACACACACGACTGTACATCATTTGGTAAATATTAGCTTTGCAAACGCTAAAGAAATTATCAAGAATCTCTGATTCTTGGTCCCCTTTTCCGTGAAATGGGAGAAGTAACTCACCGAAGAGCTCCTGTTAGGACTAATGATACCAGGTTCCCGTCTATGGTATATCACGGGCACTCAAAAATTGATAGCTCTTTATATCTTCACTGACATCAAAGAAAACATGTGTTCACTTCTTTGCCCAAGAAACAGCCCTATTGTGGTATTTTGGGGGAGAAATTAGAGGAAGGAGAGGAACGAGAACTTTCCCACCTCTGTATTTTTGGGCGCAGAGTCATTACTGCAAAGCCACTTGCAGAAACAGTTGCATGCTGGCCTCTACTGAGCCAGGTGCCCCGCCCACTGAGCCAGGTGCCCCGCCCGAGCGAGTGCTGGGCGCACAAAGCCCTTCAGAGCATGCTGAGCCCCTGATGACTGCGGATTCGGCCTGCCCCCAGCTGCACAATCACGCGGCACAAATCCCTGTATTGTCAGAGGAAGGAGCCGCTCCAGTGGCTCTGAAGAGAGAAGGAACCGCCACTGAACACGTCTTTAAAATTCATATCGGCTCTGCCTCTCAGGGGGTCTTGATGCTGCTGGTGGAAGAAAGGTGCACGGGGCTCATCTATATGTGCGTCCTTATGGTCCAGGGTGGCCCAGGTGACAGTTATTAGGCCTCTGGGACCACAGAAGCATGATAAGCCTAAGGCAGAAGCAGGACTTACTTAAGCAGTGCATTAATTGGATACCTACTAGGAGCCAGGCCCTCGATGTTAGGCACAGTGGGGGATAGAGAACAAAAGCAGACAACTTCCGGCATCGCAAGTTCTGAGGCTGGACTTGCAACACAAGCAGAGAGTTACAAGATAATGTAAGATATGAGCAAAAATTTGGTCCGATTATATTGAGATGTCATATAATACTCTATTCTATGATTAATTCCTAAACGAATGGCAAAGAAACTAAGCATCATGGGAAGAAAACAACTAGTGTGTATTTATTAACTGCTCCCTATGGTATCTGGCCATAAAATGAGCAAATGGGTTTTTCCCACCTTTCTTGTCTCATCCCATATTATTTTTGAAGTCTGGCTGTCTGTCTGCTACTACACAAATGACATAAGTATTCTTATTAGATATCCCTCCTATTCCAGACATGCAAGTCTGGCACTCATATTACCGGAGGGAAAAAAGCAAGGAACATAGTCCAACAAGAGGTCAACACGTCCAATCATCTGTACTCATGTCCCCAAGCACAGCTCTCACACACCCTCACACAGTCTACACATCTGTATTCCTCCTGAACCTCCAGGTATCCAAAGACAAGGCAGGGGATGCTTAGATGTGGACCTTCCCCCTTGCGTGAGATAATTGACTGGCACCCGGCAGTCTCGCCCACATGTTGCTGAATGAACAGTCATACAATTCTACTGACTCAATCCGTCCTTACGGCCAAATCCATGTAATGTATGGAGGGGAGCTATGAAATGTGGATAATGCTTTACCGGAAAGAAGGGATGCTTCTTCATCACAAAAGATCACATTACAACAGTGGAGGGCTGGAACTCACTGTATTTCCCCCTTAATTGAGGAAGAACTCCTTGGGCCAGGGAACTATACTGAGTTATGACACATTGAATAGGTCACCTGTACCCCCACAGTGGCAGTCTGCTGGTTTTCTCGTTCAGGTTGAAGGAAAAGAGATGGGTGGTTGTTCAAAGCAGGAAGGTACAACAGAACTTGGCATCGCCACCATTCCCCATACCTACAAGGTAGACATTGTCCAACGCAGTAATAAATCAGAAAAGCAGAAGCAGTGAGGAACGGGAATGGAAAGCACGTGAATGACCAGAACCCACAATCGGAACATACTTGCTAAGCATCCACTGTATTCTCTTAGCACTGACCAGGCCACTCTAGGGGCCATGTGAAGAGAGTGTGAGCCCAAAAAGAAGTAAGCATGTTGTAATGGTTAATCTTCATCATTAACTTAACTGGACTTGGAATTCCTTAGGAGACACACCTCTGGGCATGTCTTTGAGGTATTTCTAGAGTTTAACTGAGGAAGGAAGATCCACCTTGAATGTGGATCTGAATGTGGACAGATCTTCCATAAGGGTCAAACTGGGAAAGAAAGAGAGAGAGAGAGAGAGAGAGAGAGAGAGAGAGAGAGAGAAAGAGAGAAGGTATGTATGTACTGGGGTAGTGTTGTGTGACAACTTGACACAGCTAGAGCCTCATGAAGATGAAATCCAGCTCTAAGGCATTTTTTCAATTAGTGACAATGGGGCTGGTGGTTCTGGGTTCTATAAGAAGGTGCACTGAACAAGTCATGAAAAGCAATCCAGTAAGCAGCTCCCCTCATAGCCTCTGCATTAGTTCCTGTCTCCAGGATTCTGCCCTGTTTGAATTTCTGTCCTGACTCCCTTCAGTGATAAACAGCAATGTGGAAGTGTAAGCCAAATAAACCCCACCCCCAAACTTGCTTTGTGGTCATGGTGTTTCATCGCAGAATGGAAACCCTAACTACGACAAATAGATACTAATGGGGTGTTGCTGTGACAGACCTGGCCATGTTTGGGGAGGTAATGGAAGGACTTTGGGCTAGAAGAGCCATTGAGTGTTAAGAGCTGTGTGTGATGCTCTGTGAGAACTTGGAAGATCAAAATACTGAGAGAAGTGCAGATGCTGGTGGACTGGCTTGCAAAGTTTTAGAGGAAAGTTTAAAGACTAGGGGGACATTTGTTATTTTGAATGAAGATTCTGTGGTTCTGGTTAGCTGGGGTTTAAGAATCAGCCATGATTATGAAGATACCAGAACTACTAAAGTAAAACTTTGCTTTCCTTGGATACTTGATGCTGGTTGACTGGAGTTAGTGATGGTTAAGAAGAGGCCAGCATAAATGAGGTAAAATCTTCTGGGATGTGTTTCCTGAGAGCAGAGAGAAGCTGTGTTCCATAGGTGGCAAAGGTTGAACCTTGTGCTGGCAGTGGGACTCAGTCATATATAAGAGTCACCCAGGTAGTACTGGTTTTGAAGGTATTCAGCCATCATGGAGAGAGGCTGAGGCTTGGCATTGTAAGAGACCAAGACAGGTCATTGGTGAAGGTGTAGCCTCAGTGGCAGTTGAAGGCCCAGGACTGAAGGAGTCATACATGTAAGTTGAGGTTTGGCCCCATGAAGAGAGCCTATAAGAGGCTATTGGTGAAAGTACAGCCCAGCTACAGTAGAAGACCTGTGTTTTGGAGATGTCAGTACCGTGGGATGACCACCAAAAACAGTAGCAGCAATAGAAGGAGCCACAAGGAACCTAGAACACAAGCTGTGTGTGCTGCAGAGGGCAGAGCCAGAAAAGTGACCCAAGCTCTTTTCAGGAGTCCAGAAGATCATGAGTAGATCCCAGATAATTGGACATCGAGTTATCTCTACTGTTGGAGTTTGACTTTGCTTGGTTCAGATTGTGGTGGTGCCCTGGTTCTTTCTTCTAGAAGAAGGCATTCAATTTTGATTTTTAAAGGACACCAGAACTGCAAGACTTGAACTTTTAAAAGAGATGGGATATTTGAAAGAGACTGAAATTTTAATGTGTTTGAATTGGTAATGACTGTGAGACTTTTAAAATTATTTATCTTTTTAATGTGAGATCCTGGGGATGAATAAAAAAGGAAAGGATGTTCACCATGAATGCAGCTAACGAATACAATTAAACCAAACAAGTACAGGATAATAAAATTGGAGAAATGTTTAGGAAGGCAGTGAGTCATTTTCCTTCCTTGTCCCCCGACCCTTCCTTTACCAGGTAAGGAACCCAGTACCAATGCCTGGCAAAGGCCCTACTACTGATCTATCCCAGTCCAAAAGGCAGGGCTTTTTCAGCTATTTCTTTACAGTTCCTGCCAAAGACCTGGAACTTGTCTACCTGCCTGTCAGTAGGGAAAGGAGCACAAACTTGTCAAAATGCGACCCTTGGCCACAGGAAGGTTTGCTGCCGAGGCAGCAAGCAGGTTGGAGGCAGATGACGGAGCAGTAACTGACAGCAAAATGCCAGAGCTTCCGTTCCGGGTGCCATCTTGGGAAGAGGCTCCTGAGAATCAGTTTTAAAAGGCTCTATTACTTCAGGTCCTTCCTGGGACATTTGCTGGTAATGGGAGTCAGACGTGATCCAGGCTGGTGCTTAAAAGGCAGACAAGGGAAGGTACAGAGCAATTACCGAATGTGTCTGCACCATTTTGAAAACCAGTTACCTGTCCCTTGGCAAGAGAGGATTGGCTGCTTGCAGCTGGAACACTCTGTCTTGCTTTTGTTTTTCTTCTTCCTCCACTCTCTGTCTGTCTCAGGACTGCCCTCTCAATCCGCCTGATTGTTTTTCTCCCCTCAGAGTCATTTTCCGAGGCCTGGATCCCCATCTGGTTGAGGCTGCCTGGTGAAGGGCACACACATTTACTCCACAGTGGTCTCACAGCGCTGCTCTGGCTGGCACAGGGGCAGGGGACCCGGTATTCACAGAACAAAGGACACCTGTCCTGGAATGGCCCTTATATGCTCAGCTGGGAGGAATTCACGCAAGTGAAGCAGAGGGGTGGGGGAGGGGGAAATAAGCCTATTCATTGTGTGGCACAGCCTCTGTACTTTGTCAGCAAGATGGAGAACACTCACTATTTTCTGTGGCTTTTAGGATTTCCATATTTATTGCTTGTTTGCTACCACTCGGGAGAAGGGAAGGGGGAGAAAACAACGTCTTCTTCGATTTGGAATCTTAAGTATGAATATGTGAGGTTTACCCTCCCTCACCTGTCCCCCTGCAGTTTCAGCAAGCACAGGGCCGTGGAATGTCCAGCCTAGAAGCACTTGAGAAATTTAAACAGCATTGCCCCATTTTCTACACAACAAAATTATAGGCAAGGATAAAGGGAGTTGGCGAATGCCTCATACCTAGCCAATGACAGATTGGAGCTTGCACTGACGTCTGTGGAATCTTGTGCTTATTTTTCTATCACTGTACCATATGGGTTGTATTTCTATTCACGTCAAGAATTCTGCTGTGTGTGTGTGTGTGTGTGTGTGTGTGTGTGTGTGTGTGTGTGTGGCACGGGGGTGGCTTTGCATCCCAAGCGTGAGTACCTGAGTTCAGATCCCCAACACCCCAGGAAAAGCCTAGCCTGAGGAGATGCATCTATAACCTCAATTCTGGGATGGAGAGAAAGCAGAGAAGGAGGGATCCCCAGAGTGGACTGGACAGCTGGTGTAACTAAAGAAATAAGCTCTGGGTTCACTGTGAGATCCTGTCTCCAAATAGTAAAGCGGTGAGCAAGAGAGGAAGATGCCCAGTGTTGACCTCTGGCTTACACACAGGTATACACACACAAACATGCACACACGTATGCATTGCACACATGTGCAGAAGTATATTATTCACAGACATACATACAAAAGAATCGTATTATGTGTAGGCAACCTGAGTATGTCTAAATGACGATACAAGAAGGTGCCTGTCAGTTGATGGAAACCTCAGAGTCCCCCAGCAAAGCAGGAAGTACAGTATACTTGTACAGTTGTTACATCGTGTGGCCACAGCTGGTGAAGCAGAGCTGGAGCGAGGCAGTTACTGACCTCAAAGCTGCACTGTTTGGTACAGGCAAAGACACAAAAGATTAGGACGCAATATGGAACCAAGTGTGTGGCATGCAGCACCTTCCAGATGTGTGTTAAAGAGTGGGATGGGACTGATGTTAATCAGAAGGTTCCCGTTAAAAAGAAGGAATGTGATTTTGAGATCTCTTGTATGACGGGACTGCAGTCGAAACATACATGCTTGAAAGTTCCTAACACACTAAGTTCCAAATGTTTTCACCACAAGAAATAGTAAGCATCATGGGAGGCCACAGATACAGTAATTACCTTGATTTCATTATTTCATGATGTAGGCATCTATCAAAACATCACATCTCCATAAACATGCACAACTATTATTTATTTGAATTACTATTTATCAATTAATGGGGAAAGCAGAGGAAAAGGGTGGTTTAGTCGAGTAGCCGGAGAAGGCTCTGTGGAAGTTATTGTGAAAGAATTTCAACTGAGATTCACAGTGAGAAACATGTCAAGCATCAGGAAGAGCACAAACAGGAGGCGTCGTGACCATCACGGAATCAGATGAGGATCATGTGAGCACAGATGCCTGGACTGTACCAAGCAGGGCTGAAGAAGCGGGTAGCCATTCACGTGAGTGATAGTGTCACTGAGTGGGTGATGGGAGAAGCATGTCTCCACTCCAACCTGTGCACAGATTATGCCACGGAAACTGGGGTCTGGGAGCCTAATTCATTGTGAAGGCATTTAAGTTAAGACACAGAGACATAGAGAAGCCATGTCTGGGGGAAACTGAGGCCAGAGAGCCCTCCAGCTGGAGGAAAGGCAAATGTCTGGCTCCAAGTGTAAGATATTTAAGAACGATTGCAGAGCCCAGCAGTAGGGGAGGAGCCAAACCAGTGGATCCCAGGCCAGGTTGTAAAGAGTCTGGACAGACATTACAAAGAAGCTGAATTTATTCTAAGAGCTATGGAAAAGTTCAGCCTTCTCTCCATCCTCTGGGCTCAGTGTGCCCAAACTATGTCTCCATGGGAACAACTTATCTATTGACTGAGGACTTTTCAATTTGGGTGCCGAATGCGCAGAATCCCAGTAATCCCTCAGTTGAACACAGACAGGAAAATAGCCATCTTCTCGCTCACCTTGTTCCTGATGACTGAAGTCCTGCCACATTGTTTAGTGCCCTCTTGTAGGTTCCTAAACAAAACAGGAAAACCAGGCTGATGCTTCAGAATATAAATAGCCATTATCATTTCTAAGAACAAGGCTGCTGTGATTAAAGTGATCTCAACAAATTTTCTACAGGCTTCTGGGATTATCTAAAGCCACTTGTAAGAGACAAACAGGAGCCTCAGTGTCAACCATCTCTGACTGCATTTTGCAGCTTTTGTTTAGGTAGGTGTGAACTCAGAATCGAATCTTGTCCCTTTAAGACCCTTTATCAAAATAATGGAATTCGTGATCTCACAATCACATAAATCCTTGCCAGCCCCCTTAAGTCAATTCATATTTCTGTAGTTCGTTGCTGGCTCAGGAGGAAATTGCATTTATTATAATTGCCTCTAATTGCACCAGATTAGTGATTACAATTATTGATGGAAGCTGATTATTCATTAGCATCAAATCAATCCTCCTGCTTCCTCATTACTCCAAACAGTAACTCTGATGAGGCGAGGTCTAAAGGAGTCCAGAGCCATCCCCTTCCCTGCATGTCAGGCAGCCTCCTGTGTTGTTTCTAAACAAACACCTGGAAACAACTTAGAACTTAAAGTGACAGAGAGCGTTCCCTCTTTTCCCCCCATCTAAGGCCAAATCTCATATCCACCACTGAGTGAGGAAGACATGAAATCTGCTAAACATCACCAACGACTATTTTGGAGGCCCCAGAATGCCTCCTTTTGCTAACTTTTTGTGGATGCCCTTCTTGGCTCCATAATGGAAATTCAACACACCTTGCCCAGATCGTCTGGAATATGAATGATCTCAAACATGTAAAGAGAATAGAGCACACGGTCATATAGACCAGACTTCAAATTCTGGCTGTGTCACGTGAGCTTTGTAAAAACAAGTACAACGTGCATCCGATCTGAGCGGCAGAGCTCACTGTAGGATGAATACGGATAAGCCATGAGACCCTCTCTACTCCTTCTTCACCAATAGACTTAGTCACCTAGTTCCAATCCTGAGAGAATGCTGTAGACTTCTTAGAAAGTGCCGGGAAGAGAATAAAGGCACCAGCTTGCATGATTGTGGTTAGGGCTGGAATAGTCAAGCTGTTTTAAAGACTTTGCTCATTAAAGGTGAAGTAGCTGCTCAGAAATGTCACCCCCTTTGCCCTCCACTTTCTTCAGACTGTGACATCTAAATTAACTTTGAAAGTATTATGCTGATTTCTTTGCACACTGGCTCAAATCAACTGAGGATGTGTATTCCATAGTTGCTTGCTGGTAAACACATTTCAGTTTTGACAGAGGAGCAGTTTCCTGAGGAACTTTTGCCTCCTTTGCTGATACCTACAGCCTGCTCTCGACACAGGCTCCAGAGAGCTAGAAATATAAATAAAATAAAGGTATTGACCTTGAACAGCTCACAACTGTGCATCCTATTCCCCCGCTCTGTTTTCATTCAAGGAAGGGCAAGTTCTAACAGGACCGTGGAGAACGGGGAACCCAGCTCAGCTTGGAGGATCGAGGGGGCCTAGCAGAGGCAGCTCTAGGATGGACCTGAAGCTGTGTGCATTTCTGCTGATGCCCTATGTGTTACTAGACGTCCAACAGAGGACCAGAGACCAGGACCTCCTCATAGCTTCACTCATGACTTATAGGCATCTGACATGTGACTACAGCGACAGGGACAGACGCTGCTTATCAGTGTCCCATCGATCAAACCACTGTGACTCAGCAGGTGTCCCATAGATCTAACTGCTGTGACTCAGCGGCCTTTTCACCTCTTGGAAACTCAGATCTTCGAAACATGAGTTTGCCTTAGAGCATTTTTGGGTGGATTCATCTGAGCTATCTAATGGCTTTAGACATAGAACTCTAGCCCATTCTTTCCCCAAAGTTTCCTCTTACTTAAATCTACTCCTCATATATCAACACCCCCTAATTTTCACCTTGCCCCTCCTCCACTCATCCAGTCCAGAGAGTATAAATGTCTACTGGTCATAGAGGCAGTCAGGGAGCCAAGAGCCAGCACAAGATTCAGAGTCTGCCACGGGCAGCCGAGGAAGGAAGGAAGAAGGCAAAAGCGAGGGACTGTCAGTTGTTCTTCACACCGGTCCTTTCCCCATGTTGATGCCAAGGCTAAACGCTCTGGATGCTCAGACGTGGCTCTTACAGTATGTCGGAATCAGGCTGTTTCCTCTGGGAAAGCAAACAGTGGTTCCCTAGACCATGCAAAGTACAGTCCAGAGGCTGTAGGATGTGACTCTGGTGTCTTCTATTTGGAAGTCTTATCCGACAGCTGCCAGTGGCTCAGCCACTGTTGGAGAAACTGAAGATGAGTGTTTGACTTCTCTAAACAGAATGAATGTCTCCTGTTTCGAGTCTCTTGTGTATACATCCTACCTGTGTGCCACTGGAAATGCTGCCACTTCCTCTAGAGACTCCTGTCCACATCCCAGGCCGCTTAGCTATGCAGAAGGAAATTAACCCTCTTCTCTCCCTGCCATCTTCCTCTGCCTCCCCTTGCTTTGCTACTGTTAGATAGAGGACATACAGTTATAGCATCACTTCCAGAGAAACACAAGATGTACGGGTTCTGTGATAGATCACAACACCGGAAAATGCTTGGCCTTGCTTGGCAAATGTGCACTACTGGGCAATTCAGTCTTCTCCGAGACTCGTCCAAAGTCATGCTCTTCCCTGAAGGGCAGCAGGACACTTGCTACTGGCGCGTGCAGGAAACTGTGCTCAGTGAATTTCTGATCCCTGCCTCTCTGTAGCCAAAGCCGGGGGGAAAAGCTCTGTCTGGTGACCAAGGACCACAGGAGTTTTCTGGGCGCTGCCCTTGGAGGCTACCCCAAACCCGCAAGAGGCTCCCGCATGAAATGGGCAGAGGTTCTAGTGACTTTGTTCCAATGTAGCTCCTCTTAGTTCCGGACTTCCAGATAGGCACAGGCCTCCGCCCCCTCTGCACTCCCCTAGCCCTCTGTCAGCTGGTGTGTGTGGCTCTTCTTCTTCCTGCTAACAGTTGGTAAATGAGTCCCAGTCTAGCTGCTCATGCAGCATGGCAGTGCAGAAAGAACCTTCATCCTTATGGCAGGCACATTAATGCCAAGTTTGCTCATTCTAATTAATAACAGTCAGTAAACACCAAAGAGAGCTAATGATGATTACAGGCCGCAGCTCCTGCGTGTTAGCAAACACGCCAGGCAGGTGGCCTCTCCTCCCTCCCAGGAAGGAGGCTGGGGCTGAGTCCTACAGAGCTGCCTGGCTTCCCATGGCCTCTACCCCTGGTTCAGAAGACCCTGCCTTACGGCTCAGCCTGGTTCCTCGGGAACAGGAAAAGGCAAGTCACATAAAAAGGACTCTGAGTGGCCTCTAAGACTACAGTGGTCAGATCTTAGGGCTCTGTTTCCCAGAACAATCTCCCTAGCACTTGGAATAAAACAATTTTCTTTCATCCTACTTTGGAGGCTTTTTTTCTAATCTCAAATTAATATAATTTGCCTTGAAAAGTTGAATTATTGCAGGTATCTGATAGAAAGGGGTCCTTTTCCTTCAGTCCCACCCACAGGACGGTAGAGCCCATGATTGGTTGGACTTCTCAATCCTCAGATCTTCTCATCTTCTACCCTCTCTTGTGGAAACTCGATGCTCTCCTTTCCCAGGTACCCACACACGTCATCTTTCCAGCTGCTGCTGAACTGCCTCTGTTGTAAATCCATTTTCCTGACTGAACAAAGCTGTTGCCTGTTCTCTTCTCCTAAAGATACTTCTCCTTTCTCCAACCCCACTCCTGTGATCTTCCTGTGGCCACATTCTCCAGGCCTCAGAAGGCCAAATAAAGAAGAGGTTAGCTCTACAGTGTCACCTGGCTGTCCCACAACCCAGTGCTCCCCTTCCTGAGTTCAGCAATGGTAGAAATCAGACTCAACAACCCCAGCATCTTCTTGCTTAGCCACAATGTTAAATCAGAAGATTTTTGGTTCAGTTTAAATCGGACCTTGAACTTCTGGTCTACTTGCATGTGCCAACCAAGTGCTGGGATTGTACTTCTGAGCCACTGCATTGTGCTGAATTTGAGATTTTCGTGGTTTTCAAAATGTTCCCATCCCTATGACCCTATTGTACAGGGAGCTGCATGGAACAAGCATGTTGGGTCTGCAAGGCATTCTTCAGGAAGGCTTTAGCCCGGCAGGAGAGCTCTATGGGCAAACCCCAGCCTAGATCTCTGAGTGCCAACGAAGGGAATGAGTCTACAGTGGGCAGGTGTGATTAGAGGGAGGGGCAGGCCACAGTGATCTCAGAATCTCGTCCACACCCTGTTCCTTTTCCAGAAGCCTCCAGATCCCCTGCAATCTGTCACTGGTTTGTTCTTAAAGCTCGCCTCCTCTTACAAATGTCAGTTCCTTTGCCTGCAGTGACAACACCCCTCCCTCCACTGTCCCAGTGATTCAGACAATGCTTCATTCCTCAATGGACTGCTCAGGCTGACGCAGCCAGACCCCATTCTCTGCGAGTTTAAAGCAGGTAAGGTACAGAACTGTGAAAAACACCATCATCCTGAGCGTGATAATAAACAGATAGGAGTAAATAATTGAGTGCAACTAGAACGGCTCAGCATATTGTCTTTTTAGATGATGTGCAGGAGGCTTTCCGCTTCCCTGGATTCTTCCTTCTTTCTCATATATGTCTTCTCTTCAGCAGCCTTTAGACTTTCCTCACTTTGACTATTCAACTACTCTTCTTCTCTTTCATCTTTCACGCTCACCTTTTTCTCTTAGTCACAGCAAGTGATTAGCAAGCCTTCCTAATTTGGACTTGACATGTTCAGTGCATCCATTTGTTCATCCATTCATCCACGCACCCACTTACGGCACTAGTGTTCTCTGAATTCTTTATCAGTCTCTTTGCTAGGTTGCCAGAAAAGAGATCTTAGCTTCTAAGAAACTGAGCCAGCCACAGGAAGAAAGACAACTTGTTTTATTTATTACTTTTTTGGTACAGGGTCTCTTGACATCCTGATCCTTT